AGTGAGTATGGTTTTACGCAGCTTTTAACTATATTCCAGCAACATCACGGCGGGGGACACCAGAATGGGCTTTACACAGTATACCCATTGTGGGGAATCGAAACCGAGCGTTCGGCGTGACGAGCGAATGCTTGAACCACTAGTAGTAGTAGTAGTAGTAGTAGTAGTAGTAGTAGTAGTAGTAGTAGTAGTAGTAGTAGTAGTAGTAGTAGTAGTAGTAGTAGTAGTAGTAGTAGTAGTAGTAGTAGTAGTAGTAGTAGGAGGAGGAGGAGGAGTAACGGTTCCTGTTATTGCCTTGCAGGTGATGGTAAACTCTCAGTCGCAGAGTTCAAGACCGCTATGCACAGCGTAAGTCATCCGACAAATGTCTAGGTTATTTTATTTTGATGTCGATTTCTACTGGCCTCTATATACGACACCAGTCTGACGGGAGATAACGCTCTTGGACTTCCCGAAAGACCTGGCAACTCTATTCAGGGTTTCTCCGGACTGCAACATTCCTATAACGCATTGCCGTATTTGAGATAGTGTTAAATACTGTCGTGGTGGCATTTTGAGTGTCTTGACACTCACCTGTCTATCATGCCTTAAGTAGCGCTCCATGCATGCAGTGCTTGTGCGCTCGTGATTTGAAATCATGTAGGAAGACAGTAGTGAATGTGTTTAATTACTCTGGGCTTGGAGTTCAGGTTTCTAAAAAGTTGAGACGTAAACTCACACTGTCATATCAAATCAGAAAATACCGGTGTTGGGGTTCCCGTATTTTGGGGGCCACGTATAGCTGTAGGCATACAGTCAAGATGGGCAGGTTCCTAAATTGCATTTTATTATTTAATCGCTATGTGGCAGAAATTCTGCCGAAGCGACTGTCAAATTTTACTTACTGATGATGAAAACATAAAGATTGATTATTACGATAACATATCGACTTCATTACTTTAAGTCAGTGAAATTCTGAAATGGGAAGATATTTTGATAGGTTTAATTATGCATGTTTTGATGTTAATGACTTGGAGGTGTACGTTTGCTAACACATCTCATTTCTTCACATTTCAGCTCTACACAAACTGTGTCACCAATCATGGGCGATAAAACTGCTATTAAAAAACTACCACCAAATTGTTCCTTTTATATTTGGATAATTTATCTTACGAGATTACAAAAATTGCGTCTTCAAAGCTTCATCACACTATAGGCTCCCTCCAGAACTCTCTGCTCCCATGATCAGTTTCTCCAGTCCATGCCTACTTATAAACTCAAATCGTTTGGTGCCAAGTCATTTCAGTATGCAGCTGCTATAGCTACCCTTTGGAACTCTCTACCTTTTGATCTATAACTAGTACCAACTCTGCCACTCTTCAAAACAGTCAAAACACATCTCTTACAACGATATGTTTCATAAATCCATGTATTTTCTTGTACATGTGAACTGTGACTTGTCCGCGCTTTGAGCATTGCCCTTGTGTGGTGGAAGTCAGCGCTATATTTTTAAGCAGGCATGTGTACGTCTGAGCGTCTAAAGGAACATAAACACGAGAAACACTGACGCGGTGAACATTGGTATGGGGAAACATCATATGGGAGCACTGCAATGTTGTTATCCTGACGATACCTAATAGTGGCAAGCCCTGTGTGAGGCCTGGCATTGTCATTAAATCTTTGAAGGGCATTGTCTTGCTGGAACAACTCCTTGAAACTCCTTGAAACTTTTTCTGTACCGAATAGCAGTAAAATTGCCCTGAAGGCGCACAAAGTCAGAATTCTGCGTGTAGGATATGGCTCCCCACATCATGACCACCTCACCACCATATCGGTCAACCTGGGCGACACAATTCTGGGCTAAACGTTCATTTCGACGTCAATACACACGTACTCTTTCGTCACGACGCTAAAGCAGAAAGCATGATTCGTCACTGAACCATACACGTCGACAGTTTTGTAGATTCCAGAATCGAACGTCATTACACCTCTGGACCCGTTGACGTCGATGTTATCGTCGCAGCACAGTTCCTGTGACAGTTCGATTCCGTAAATGAAGTACCCTGATGTACCTCTCCCGCGCTGCAGTGGTAACCCAAGGTCTATCACTTCGAAGCCGATCTTGCGTAGAATGGGTTTATTGATATCGGTCCCATAAACGACTGATGGCACTCTGTTGGACATTGAGATGACGTGCAACGGCAGATTCCCGAGCCTCCAGACGTCCAATGACCCAGTATAACGATATCCTTTCATTTCGCTAAAAAGATGCCAATGACCGAGTAAAAGCAAAACGGCCTTATATAAGCTTTGTCCCTGTACACGATTCCTCAGAACTGCACGTGCATATTCCAAACCACTTTTTCTCCACGACATTTTCATGCAAGTAAACGTTTTGCGTTTTTGCGCTGTGCATTCGTTCCATGTAGACAAACCAGCAATATATTATGGCGAAATTGTGACAATCAAACTTTAATTTTGAAAAATATTTAAAATTTCATATATCAATATCACCTATGAGAAATGGGAAACCTATGAACTAGAAACATAGACGTGAGACAGGGGAAACAGAAAGAGGAAACAAAGACACAGATAGCACAGACGCAGGAAACATGTAACGTAGACACGGAAACAAAGACAAATAAAACATTGACACGGGAAATATAGACAAATAAAACATTAAAATATAGACGTGGGAAACCAAGATGCGGAAACTTCAATGCTTTCCATGAAAGAAGCATGGTCACATGGACACATATATCTTTAAAAAAAGAAACTTGAAATGCTGGTTTAGAGTATATTTACTGAGTGCATATAACTGATTCAAACTTGACATCATTGCTCAATTACAGTAAAATCATCACTTTACAAATTTCCAAAACATGATTATCCACAAAGTGTTTGGTAAAACCACAGAGTATCTGGTGTGACCACCATGATCACCAGCTTGGCAGCGGTGACCGATAGAAGAAAGGAGATGCCGAATGCTGTCTTGAGGAATGTTTTGATACACTTGCTGAAGTGCTGCGTGCAGTTCTTGTAGTGTCTGAGGTGGCGGATTACGCTGGTGTAAGAGTCGATCAAGAGCATCCCATAGATGTTCAATGGGGACAAATCGGGTGATCGAGAAGTCCATGGTAACACCTGAACGCTGTTTTGCTGAAGGAAGTCCTGGCAAACACGAGCAACGTGAGGTCGAGCCTTGTCATGCTGGAAAGAACTACCGTTGACGTTGATGAAGGGAACGCCGTGACGTTGCAAAATCTCGTCTCGATAGCGAACCCCATTCAATGCACCTGCCACGTGCACAAGAGCTAGCCGGCCATTATGATGGATACCTGCCCACACCATGACACTTCCACTACCAAATATATCGACCTGCTATACACAGTTATCGGCGTAACGTTCGTTCCGACGTCTGTATACACGTGAACGTCCATCAGCACGTCTGAGAAGAAACAGAGACTCATCTGAGAACAAAATTGTCCTCCATCTTGCCCACGGCCATCTCACTCAATGTCTGCACCATTATAGACGTTCAGCCCGGTGACTTTGTGACAACGTTATGTCGAACAGGTCTTCTGGCAAAAAATCCGACTTCCCGTAGCCGACTGCGCACTGTCTGGTCGGAGATTCGGTGCAGTCCAGGGATTTGGGTTGTGGTGGATGTTGCGGTCGTGGTGCGTGAACGAAGATGTCTCAACCAGATGTGGCGATTCTGAGCGGCGGTGGTAACTCTATGTCGACCTGACCTGAGTCTATCATTAACACTCCCAGTATTATTCTACCAGGTCCATAGCTTTGAGATGGTCTGTCTGGACACGCTGAAGTGACTTGCCACCTCATGCTGCGATGCCCTTCCTTGTAAACGACCGATGGCGTTGTGTCATTGAGTTTCTGTCAGTCTTGGCATTCTCTTTGTCGTCTATAGTGGCTTATGTGGCAATGCATGTGGAGTACCGTTGATGTGGCCTTCTAATGCCTACAGTCATAGGCTTCAGCCCGGGGTGATACAAAATTTCATGATGCACGTGCAGTTCATATAGAGTGCGTTTTAGCAATTCACTACAAACGTGACTGTAACGTTTTTGTTCAACGGGTTTTTTTCAAACGTTTTGTGGTCGGCAACCATTCCCCCACATGTTGTGATTCAGCATGGATTGGTTTGTGTCAAATATTTTCCTGAAATCAAATTGTTCCTATGTCAAGTTTCTTTTTTGAAAGAGTATATAGTTATCTGGAGAGATGTGGGTCGAAGAGACATGCACATATTCATCCTTCCTATCCCCCATGAAACTGTCAGCATTATTCTGATAATCATTAACCATGTGTATTTCTTCGGTTATGACGCCGTGATGTTGCTGGGATATTGTTAAAACCGGAGTAAAACGTCACTCACTCACTCACTCACTCACTCATACCCACCTACCCACTCACTCACTCATACCCACCTACACACTCACACACACACACACTCACTCATATCCACCTACCCACCCACTCACTCACTCATACCCACCTACACACTCACCCACCCACCCACACACTCACACACTCACCAACTCACTCACTCTTCGGTTAGGGACAAGTCAGGCCTTCAATTGAAGTTCACTTTATGTTAGAATGCAATGTGTTAAACGAATTACGAAACAAATATCTCCCTGCATATTGTTGTAAACATCCCACTTTTGATAAATATATTTCACTTATGTCTATCACATACAAACCAATACTTGTAACACTTGCATGACCGCAAGGTCTGTTTCTGTCGTATTGTGGGGTGTCTTTGGGTAGCCCGGTGGTTAAAGCGTTCGCTCTTCACGGCGAAGACCCGGGTTCGATTCCCCACTTTGGGAAAAAGGTACGCGGGACAATATGCCGAGTGGTGGAAAAGTATATTTATAGGAAAACATAAGATCTTTTTAATCGTTTATTTGAGTTAATCGTTCAATGCCTCTAAGAAAGCTATTTCTATATATGGCATGAGGACGGGTGGAGATAAATCCAGACATATAATTAGATTCGAACCTAATATCGCAGGTGTCTTGCGTACCAAGGAACGCAACTCTGGCCAGCGAATAGACGACTGGTACCAGTGTCCACATGATTTTAGCGTAAAATGAGACATGTATTATATATTTAATAAACATTGATCCTTTCAAAGATGTCTGTCTAATCTCGTGACCTGAAAGTTTGCCGTGAATAGCGGTGAGATCGCATTCTTGTATAAAACCTTCACATTTGATAACGATTAACATCCTGATATGGTTGGAACATTAGTGACTGTGCCATTAACAGACACTCCCTCCACTAACTCACTCACTCACTACTTCACCCACGCGTCCCTATATTTCAGGTGACGGTAAATTGTCTGAGGCCGAGTTCAAAACATTCATGATCGACGTGAGTAACAACCCGCTTTCTGACAACAACGTCATGACGACGTCATAGATTGGTCAATTAGTCTATGCCGTCGCTTATAATATTACTCACTGGTACAGACAATATCTATGTTCAATTTCAAGATACATACAAAGTTTGAATTTACTACCTTATATTTTTTCTCGTTTCAGATCTACAAGAATTGCGTTCCTGGGAGTTAGAAATGGCAAATAAAGTCATACAAACAACAGTAGCATTCATTCATTTGTTCATGAAATATTCATTGATTCATTATTTATTCTGTCATATTGTTCATTCTCACTAATTTGTTTCTATAACAATATACACGTTTCAGATGTTTTGTTTGTTGTTGAACATGCAGCAATATGCAAACTATATGTCGGCAGTCTGTAAATAATTGATTCTGGGCCAGACAATCCAGTGACTGACATCTGACGTACCGGTCAACGCACTTGAGATACGATGACAGGTGTCAACCACACCACGTCACCTGTCTAACCACACTCTTGCGACAAGCATGGGTCACTGAAGTCCAGTTCTAACAGGGTGGGGGCGGGGTAGCCCAGTGGTTAAAGCGTTGGCTCGTCACGCCGAAGACCCGGGTTCGAATCCCCACATGGGTACAATTTGTGAAGCCCATTTCTGGTGTCTCCCGCCGTGATATTGCTAAAAGCGGCGTAAAACTAAAATTCAGCCAGTCAGTCTAACAGGGTGGATTGTGTGTGGCACGATACAGCGTACAATTAGTAAATAATATCAAAGTAGACTATTTTAAATACTGGATTGATTGTCCGATTCCGAAAATACTATATCATGAGCATGTGAATATAACATAAGTGAAGATTCCAGATTGTCGCAAAAAGGTGATCGCATCCTATCCCCCGGCCACAAACACACGCAGTGGCTAGTCAACTGTAATAGGAAAATGACATTCACCGCCAGTTCACTTTAATGCAACATGGAATCAGTGTTATGCACTACTATTCTTAAAACGTCAACTTTGTAATTTCCCATCTTACTCCTACCGTCCATCAGGACATCTGCCGGTGGGGGAGGGTGGGGTAGCCTAGTGGTTAAAGCGTTGGATCGTCACGCTGAAGACCCGGGTTCGATTCCTCACATGGTTCAATGCGTGAAGCCCATTTCTGGTGTCTCCAGCCGTGATATTGATGGAATATTGCTAAAAGTTGCGTAAAAACCAACTCGTTCACTCACTTTTGGAAAACTTTTGATATATTGTAAAAGGATATTCTAAAAGTCACCTTCCGTGATTAAAATTGAGCAAAAGGTTTGTAAAATAGCAATAAAAACAAAACAAAAACGTACTCGTATTTCCGCCTATTACGGAAACACCTGACAGTTAATGAGCAGAGGGGGTATCACATGACATGACGTCATAAGTGCCTGTTGATGATGGCTTCCTCTTTGATTTTACCTCACAACTGAACAGTGTCCATGGATTCTGAAGCAGTAAAATATGTATCTGATGTCTTTTCTGAAATGGATGTTAGTCCATATCAATACGATCCGATTTTACTTCTTGCAAAACAATCTTCCAGTGAAGATGAAGAAGAAGAATCAAGTGAAACGGAGGCACCGCTTGAGGTGAATTTAATTTAAAAATAGACCATATCATTTAGCAAGAATACTATTTGTCAGCAAAATGTGATACAGTTCCAACCAGCACACCCACCCCAATAAATATATGACCAGTCCCTAAGAATTTTAAAAAATAATGTAATTGCAGTTCCCAGTGTCTGGGATTTAAAAACAAAATAATTATGCTTCAGACGGGGGAAAACAGAAATTATCTGCTTCAAAAATTACTCTGGAATTATTTTGTTGAAAATAATTAGGATCCTAGTTCTCATTAATAAGGTATCAAGTCTCCCAGCCTGGTTGAGCAGAGATAATATTCGCGACACAGATAGGTTATTCCTCGAAAAATGGTGAATTATAAAATACTAGTCAGGACAATGTATGTTTCCCCAGTGTTTGGTTATTGGAAATTGTTATGGTACTCGGTCACAGCCTTAGAATGACATCTTGTCAGCACACACTTCTGACAAATAGCGAGTCTGATGCCGACGTAATAGGACAAAATGGAAAACAATGAAAGCAACAAGTACTTCATGATTTGACGTTGTATTCGGCAATGTTTCAGGTAGACTGCAGCATTTAGGGCTCCAAACCGAAAAGAACGTTATACCGATACATTTTCAAGCTCATTTGAAATCTCTCACTAATTTTGATAATATATATCTCATGGGTACCAGTCGAACTGCCCCATCTACAAAATGCCCAAGCAAATTTAGTCATTCATTCTAATTTGGTCAAATTTATTTAAAATGATTATATATATGCCTTAAATGCATAGTTTTTGTCAACTTTGATATTATGTTCCTTTATATAAAAGTTATTAGGAAGTAATATTTCTGATAAATGTTTCATTCAAGAGAGACAACTCCGTTAATCCTTTTTCATTAGTTTGTGAAAGAGTTATCCCCCTTTGTTTACTTGCTAGCAGACGACATTTTCAGTGATCCTCAGTATGGATGATTTAGAGAAGAGGAAGTTGATTTTAAAGTATTATAACAAGGACATCAGATCAGCTAAAGTGATTTCAAGTAGAACAGGCATCCCTTTGTCCACTGTTTATCGTGTTTTGAAAAATATTACAAATGGATATGGCATTGAGCACCAGGGAGGCGCAGGTAGGCCCAGACAATTGACTGTAGGTGACAGGAGGCGGCTTGGTATTCTTGTTTCGAAAAACTAACGAAGGAGTTTAGAAAACTTAAGGCTGGATATGTCATATTTTGGGTCCGAAACCAGGCCTGTGAATGCTTTGAACGATGTTTTGGGTCGTTGTCCAGCTGGAATATCCAAAAAATTCCATAGAACACGTGAGCAGATTCAAGTAAATGTTTCTCGAGAATATCTGTGTACCGCTCACTGTTCATATTCCCTTCAGATATGCCACCCCACACGCTAAATTTCGGACTGTACTTTGGGTGCTGATACAAAGGTTTTTCAGTTTGTTTGGTCCAGAATTTCAGTGTATTAGGAAACAGCCACACAGAACTTTCATCTGAAAAAATCACATTGTCCCAGTTAAAATTCTATGCTGTAAGCACCAGTTCAACCTTCGCTCCTTTTTGTCAGGTTTCATGATCTGTGATGGAATTCCTCGACTTTTCTGCCAACCCATTGCATGCAGCTCAGTTCTAATTGTCTCCTTACAGACAGCCACAGTTCCTCTATCAATCAAATCCAACCTTAAGTTTTCTAAACTCCTTCGTTTGTTTTTAGAAACAAGAATACCAAGCCGCCTCCTATCACCGACAGTCAATTTTCTGGGCCTACCTGCGCCTGCCTGGTGCTCAATGCCATATCCATTTGCAACGATAAACAGTGGACAAAGGGATGCCTGTTCTACTTGAAATCACTTTCGCTGATCTGATGTCCTTGTTATAATACTCTAAAATCAACTTCCCCTTCTCTAAATCATCCATACTGAGGATCACTGAAAATGTCGTCTGCTAGCAAGTAAACAAAGGGGGATCACTCTTCACAAACTAATGAAAAAGGATTAACGGAGTTAATGAAACCATGCACTTGATAGCTGGTCAAGGTTGTTTATAATAGAAATCCAATTAAACATATTCCTAAAATTCTCAATAATTTCTGGTCATACTATATATATGGCCACAACAGAATAACAATAATTAAGACCATCTGACCACGGAGAGGGTCCTTATCAGCTGTAAATCTAAAGAGCCAGAACATTCCATTAGCATATCAGTTGTTTTAACCGGTAAGGGAAATTCTACCCCGACACCACACAGTCTGCCAGAGGCGACTTGTAAAGTAAGATAACAGAACCTGGTCTAAACTCAAGGGAGAGATAATTGATAAGGTGTTTGAACTCTAAAGCATTACCACCTAATTAATCCCCTGATTGCTATGCGCTTTCTTGTATGAATAACATATCAGTATGTGAGCGCATTAATACTGTTAACTGAATTTGACGAATGTTTTACTTAAGGTGTTCTGGCACTAACCCCTTGATTAGTTTACTTACATAAGTAATAATATAGGTTGAGCTTGTTGATCAGTGATTAGAGATCACTAGCAGTACAACTGCATCACAAAAGGTTATTTCCCCATTTTCCAATATAACAATTTCTAAACACGACGTCGCTTTTTTATTTTTGTCGTAGTTCATTCTTGTTTATTTCTGCACGACGTTGTCTTTTTTATAGCGTTTTGTACGCGCCACGCGATGGCAGTTATAGTACGCTATAGCTGTCGGACTTCCAATTATCTTGATGGTGCTTCAACATTTTTTGCTATCGTGACCTGAAGTCCGTGACTTGACCTAAGGACATGGCAGATGTCATGAAATATCTGTGAACTTTGGTGCTCCTTATAGCACTCCCTTTCCAAAACTCTACTTAAATGATAATACTTCCAGCGGAACAGTCCATCTGACTTGCGTACGTTCAACAGGTAACGTCTTGTATTACAATTTCTGTTTCAGGTTACCAGGATGCTTCCTGATCTCTAACAAGTGTACTGTTAAAGCGACCATTTGTAATCAATCAATCTTTATTTCGTACTGAACAGGCCACAGGCCTATAGTACATATACATATATGATGGGGAATTACATACATAAATATATTTACATTACAGTGATAAAACTTTTGTTCTATACAACATTGCAATGTGAATTAATGTGGCAAGATTTTGTAATATATTTTTATTTTTACTGTATATAACAAGAGCAGAGAATTCTATAAAGCTAGGATATTGTAATACCTTTTAACATATTTACAACGTGTTGAATTATACGATGGACAGATGAGAAGAATGTTATATTCGTCTTCAATTTCATTTAAATTACAAAGTGTACACATTCTATCTTCTTTTTTAACATTTTTATATCTGCCACTTTCAATCAACAAATCGTGACATGAACATCGGAATCTTGCAAGTGATAGCCTAAATTTATTTATATTAACTCATGATAAGTATACTTCATTGAATAGATAACTTTTTAAATTTTGAATAATAAAAACATTTACTTGACAATGATATTTTCTCACACCATGTTTGAAGATATGTGTCTTTAAGTCTTACGGTTAACGACTGAATAAATGTTGCAAATTGTATGAGATTCTACATATTGTGCATTCCAAAAGTTTCTGAAGCCAATAGAGAAAAA